TTAATATTATTTTCATTTAAATTATGTTTGAAGTACCGATTTTTCACTTTAATTAAATGAAAAATGTTTATTTTTGCCATATTAAGAACAGTGTTCTAGCTTCTAAACACATACATAATTTGTCGCAGTGCATTAAGCATATCATGAGCATATGCCACATAGGCCTGATAAGGCGGCGCATGGAGATCGATGTTGCTGATAGTGTCAACTACATAGCCAGCAACTAAAAGAGAGTACGCACAAGCACACACACACACACACACACACACACAGAGTCATTACATTTGGCATTAACATTTGGCTCTTTGTTTTGAGCCATGCTCCGTTGCGTATACGTAATATTTGTATACGTAGCCGTTGCGATAAGCGGCTAAGTAATTAGCTTACAACCCTATCAATTAGCCAATTAAAATTATTGTTTAATTATGACTAATTGTAATATATTTTTACTTTTATTATTATTACGCGGTTAGTTTGCAGTTTTTCTTTTTTTGTGTGTGTGTGTGTGTGTGTGTTTTTAGTTCAAAACTTTCGATTCCTGTCGCGCATGACTCAGAACGTGTCTTTTCCCATTGTCGTGACTAAGAGTTGAGCCCACTTGGAAATGTCTTAAACGCAAATTGGCCTTGAATTCGGATTAATAACCAGACAACCACAAATAACTTAGCTAAGCTCAGTAAAAAGTAAGCATGAAACTGTTTTAAGTCTCTGCAACATAATTTGTTTAAATTAATCAAAACCTAACGAGTTTTAGCTTTAATACTAAGTCATTTCATAATATAATAAGTTGACTCTTACCATGTTTAGATTTACCAAAGACAAAAGATTGCTTAATTATTCAGGCATTTGAAATATGTATAGAGCTACGGTCTTAGTTAATTTACAGATTTAGCTATAAAAAAGCTAAATTGCCATGAGGCAGTCAACTTAACGGGCAGCAATTTTACCACAGCCAACTTAACTGACTGCCAGATTGCAATTGCTAGATGAGACCGAGCTAAAGTTATGTGAGATGAAGCAACCACTAACTTTGAAGAAAACTCTATATTATAGTCAACTCCTAAATCAATATTGATAGTATCATTCATCTATGGGTATTAGCATTTGCTCCGCTTGTCAATGCTCAACAGACATAGATTTATGGACTGCTAATTATTCAAATCAGAATATGTCGTAAAAATGGTTATCACAAATATTATAGTTATGTGATTAGCATAACAACATTTTATCAGGCAGTCAATCTAGCTATCCAAATGATGCAAAGGCACAAATGAATAACCTATTGAATTATATATTTAATAAATACACATTACACGTTTATTAAATTTCCTGAAAAGTACAAAACTTTTCATCAATTTCATGGCATAAACATAGCAGATAGAGCTGAACGGGCCATAGCATATAATGTATTATGTGAATGGGTTAATGTTTTGGTTTTTTCCCAGCTCAATGCTGATGAGTGTTTCAGGTTTTATAGCACCTCGATCGGTGGGAGAGCATGAGCTAAGCATGTTAATTAAGCGCCTACTCATCGGACATGATGACGTCGTCGCGCCAACAACTGGCAATGGAACAGGTAGGAGTTGACCGGTGTGGAGGGGGAGAGATTTAAGAATGCGAATTGAACTTGAATTAAAAGCAAATCGCATGCGCAATAACCTTGAGCTTTTGTATGTACATACGGTATACATACATATATAAATGTGTGTATATGGGAGCATTGTATTAATACTATAATATATAGTACAACTTTTCTTAAACAAATGTTATTTGTTATTGTTTTTGCGGTGGCTTGACAAATGTTAATTGAAATGCACGGATCAAAGCCACAAATCCGAGACATTCATTGTTTAACGCACATTTAAGGTAATACAAAAATATCAAAATTATTCGAAATGAAATCGAATCGCGCTCGATCCGCATAATGGGCGTTGTTCACATTGAACTTCAGCGAAACCTTGAAAGTTAAGGCATTTTTATGCTTATGTGCGCCGCATTTACTAGCAGATCTATCTAATGCTAGAGCAAGTGTAGCATTTACAAAAACCAAATCAGTTTGAATGGCCAACGTATCAATCAAGTTGGATTGAGTTGAGTCAAGCCAATAGGAGAGCTAGTCGACAGTGACCGACTAGCAGATACCCGGAACTGCAGTTGTTATAAATAATTTACTGAGTAGAGTTTATATTTATGTAATATGAAAATGTATTTAAGCTCTGAAAGGAGTCTAATGAAAAGCTCGAAATAGTAGCTCAAAACTGTATGAAGTACATCATATATTAATTTTACTAAATCTATCCCATAATATGTATTTGTTCTTGCTTAAATAGGAGATTCAATCTCTCAAAAAAAGGCGAAAGGATCTCTTATTCGTTTTCAAGCATAAACACTTGACATAAATAAGAATAGTAAAAACGTGTTATTCGAGAAACATAATTCTAAGCTATAAAAAAATTGCATTCCTCAAATGCAGAGAACCTCTTCAAACCCCTGCAGTGAGCCATCAGAACGGCTTCAAGTGTAAAGCAGATAGACGATCATAAACATGTGTTCATATGCATGACAAATATGACCTTTCCAAGAACTGAAAGTAGTTTACTCATATTAGGTATTATATATGAGACTAGGATTTTTAGTTATGAAAAACTGTATAGGAACAACCTCGTATGATTTCTGATACACTCAAACAGGGGACGAACAGGAGAAAGAAAGAGATCATCTCAGCTGCTGTTGCTTTGTAGTGCCCGACCGTTACCTGCAGACTTAAATTATTTAATTAATTATAATAATTAATATTTATAAAATGAATGATTAAAAAATAAATAAAAAACAGCAATACCTTATTTATAAATATTCTCTATCAACCTCTATAGATATTTGAATATAACAATATACATAGATTAGATTGTTCATTTTGTTAAAAATCCGTTAACAAACATTTATTGTTTGGATTCATCTAATATTCCTACAAATATTTCCCCCACATAATTACACTAAGAATTTTATGTGAAATTAATAACAAGTCAATAAAGTCTTCATACCAATCCATTCATCATACTAAGCTACCTCAACAATTTCCATAACAAGACCTAAAGCTAAGCCATAAGAGTTTAGGTCTAAATGAAAAGTCGAGACCTCGCGCAAGGCCTTGAAAGCTTACGCATTCAATGAGAACAGATCATTCATTTAAAGTGCTTTAACTAAAATATAATACATTTGAATCACAATCCCTCCGAGTTAATAAATGCGTTCACTTTTGACTTTGAGGTGGCTCACGAGCCACAGCTCACGCCCCGTGGGGTCTGGGGACTTTCAGTTAAGGTCACAAAGTGAAAACTGCGAATAACGAAAATTTCACTTAACCAAAACTTAATTTATAACTATTTGGCATATAATTCTTGGCACAACTACCAGCGTTTGTAGATTTCTGGGTGAGGGTGTGTTTCTGTGTATGTATAGGCGTGCGTGTGTGTGCTTGTGTGTGTACCTGGGCATTGGCCTCAAATAGAGTCCATGATGGAATTCAGCTTTTTGTTTTGAACGTGAGACCAAACTGATTAAGCGTTTGCAACTTGCAAGAAAAACAGTGAAAAGTAAGAGTGTCGCAAGGCCAGATTGAACGACTATAATACACCCTGGGAATGAATATAATAAGGAACATACCAGGGAATTAATTTAGTCTAGAAATTAAGAGACAATAGAAGTACTTCTATTTTTTTCAATTCATATTTACATTTCATATTTCCTATTTACATTTCATTTATACCCCATAAAAAAGACTACCTATTCACAGGGTATTTAAACGCAACACAATGGCACATAATGTGGGCTTATTATGGCACTTAGCGCTATGCGTGCTTAGTTGTTTTATATATACCTATGTTGATATAGGGGCTACACATATTGTCTATAGCTGATCTAAAAAAAAAAGACAAGACATGACAGGCCCATGCCCTTGCTTAAAGCCAGTTTGACGCCAATCACAATTTCGTAGTTGTTCACCGACCTGAGCACTTATGTGGCAAATATACATATATGCACACCTGTATATACCTGTATAAAGCTAAGCTTTGGAATTACATTCAGTTGACAGCTGAGCTCTAATTGGTTTCGAAAACATTCGCAATGCGCCGCGTCTCGTGTCAAAGGAAATGTTAAACATTTTTTTTTTTTTTTTTTTTTTTTTTTTTTTTTTTTTGAGGTTATGCATACACATTGTGAGGTTATGCACCCTTCCATTACTTATTATTACATTTTGAGTCATACGCAAAAAGTGTAAGCGACTAAAAATACATATTTGATTGAGACGCGATACGTTCTTTTACCAAGCAAAAGGAAATGTTCCTACCGAAACCACTTCTACAAACTGTAATAACTTGTCTGGCGCTCTACTATCTTTTAGTATCTATCTTGGGGGCTTGTTCTGGCACTCTCTCTTTCTGTTTGTCTACCTCTCTCTCTCTCTCTTTCTCTGTTTGCTGTAGTCAACTTCAGTAATTTTCAATCAATTTTCTGTGACCCCATGGCTCTGCCCCACTGGCAGGCCTGTCAGCTCAGCTATACGTTATTCTGACCCCTATTCATGAGGTCGACGCGTTGGGCATTGTCCAGCTAGGTAAATGTTGGTCATTGACGCAATCTTCGCTTGGACATCGCGTGCCACAACTTGCAATTGGGTTAAAAGTGAACTGAATAAAAGTTCAGTTTTATAGGCCGCATAGCAGTGGGAAAATCGAAATGAAACTCTGGTGAGTTGAGGTAAATATGTAAATCATTAAGAAGATTTATGGTCTATACATATACATGCTATCCTTTATACATGTACATATATATACAATAAATAGGGTTAGAGTAATTTGGGCAATGACTTGTGATTAATCAAATTATAGCCTAAACATGTGAATCGAAATGTGTTCTGTGGGTTGAACAAACTTTATTAGGCGGTTAGGCGTCAGTGCGTTAAATCGAAATCTAATAAGCGATAACGATTACTAACTTTAGATAACGCCTTTGTAGGCTAGTCCATGCTTGTTTTATTCATGAGCTAAGTTTATAAGGTAGTGGAATATAGTATACCCTTACACTAGAGTAGGTATATCTTTAAAAAACATGGAAGAAACTGACTTGACATGACTTTTGCTGCTGTTTCCACAAGGGTCTTGATATATGTGTAATACCCTTTAAAAGTGTATATAACTTATATAACATACTCTAATCTAGAATAGTTTAACAGTTTTTCTAGATTAGTTCATGACACTCCGTATCTTATACCAATGCAATGCCTCATAATATCATTTTAAAGTTTCTTAAGAAAATTTCGTATACCCTACAATCAAAAAGAAAGATCGCTATGCGTGTGGCAATTAACTAAACTAGGCTGTGAGCTTAACAGGTGTACAATCTTCTAGCTATATACATATACATATATATTCACATATGTATGTCAGCACGTGCTTGGAAAAAACTGGAAATACCGCTAGCGATTATTGGAATTCGATTGCCATTGCAATTAGATGACGTCACATGAATACGTACATACATATGTACGTATGTGCATATTGGAAGCAGAACGCAAGTCAAAAGGTATGTACACACATATATAATTATTCATAAATATATTTGTATAAAAGACAATTAAAGAGTGGAGCAAAGACAGTTAATGCGCCTAATTTGATTTGCTAAACAATTGGCCTAACATGTAAAGGTTTGTAAATAGAAAGCGGCTGTGATTTATCAGCAATTTAGGAATTGTGTAAAGTAACAAAAACAACGACAACGTTGACACGACGACAAGTGTTGTGCAGTGCGTTGTTTCTTTGTGTGTGTGCGTGCGTGTGTGTGTGTGCGTGTGTGTGTGTGTTGGGGAGTGTGCCAATTGCTAATGGAAAGCGTCACGTTCGCTTCCACTCCTCTGTTTGCTAGAGCAGAGTGCAGATAAACACGTTTGCCTTCTGCTTCTTGCACGCCCTCTCAATTGCTTTTTTATTGCGTTGTCTAGCTTTTTGTGCATTGTGCACTTCATTTTTATTGTTACGCCTTGTTTACATCATCAAACAGCAGCGGCGCATGCGCGACACTTGACATCAGTTAACGGCAGCAGCAACAGCATGAGCACCGTTTGCCATCAGTTTACATTATTGTCTTTTTGCATGCACTGAACACATACACACTTTTGTACATATCTGTATGCCAATATGCACACATGCATACATTTAAAGTCGTTTCATTAATAATGTGCCATTGTATTAGAATGCATTTGCCATTGAAGTGGGCTGAGAAAAATCTTTTCGACAACTGCCGGCCGAATAGCTGCGCTGTTGCGCTATTGCACACTTATGCATTAATTCGCCACACAAACTCACACACATACACATATGTATGTGCACGCTATTGCCATTGAAGCAAGCTCTGCTCAAATCTTTGAGACAGCTGCTGGCCCCAGAGCTTTGTTGTTGCGTTATCGAACACTTGTGCATTCACTCACTCAACACACACACACACACACACACAAATATACACATACAGCATCATTGGCTGGCATAACTGGAAACCGGTTCCAGTACACATTTACCGTAGCCACCACACAACAGCATGCGACATAATTGTATAAACATAGATTTGTTGTTAGCAACTTTGTTATTGCCATCTCATATATACACATATATGTATATATTCATTCATTGTTGTTGTTTGTCTTTTTTTCGCGCGAGTCTCACACACTCTATGCCAACTGCGACTTTGGAATTTTGTTATTTTATTTATTTTTTTCTTCTTTTTTTTTTTGTAAATGAACTCAGCCGCAGGTTTGTCTTCTAAACTTGAAACAAGTTATCGGTTTATAGCACAAATTCCACAATCATTGTTTTGCGTTGGGTGCGGCTTAAAGCTTATGTTTTTCAAGTTTAATTTCACTTTCAAATTAAGTGCAGCAAAAGTATTTGCATATCGCATGCATGCTCTCAAAACAAAACACATGCATAACTCCATTTCATTAAAATTGTATTAGCTAGAACACGCAGCATTCAGCACTAGCATTTTTTGCAAATATGTACATAACTCAAAACTTGTTTATCAAATAATAACCACTAACCAATAATTTATGTTAAGACAGAGCCAAATACACGGCTTTTGTTTATCTTTCCGTGTCTATCGCGCACAAGACTGCGCGCCTTGTATTCAAATCTGCAACTGACAATTAAATGCTCCAATTGGGCAGGCGCATGCTGTATGTGACAGAGGTGAATTCATTGCTTATGGTGAATTTTAAATACCCCATACCAGTTAAAGCACGCTATCGATAAATGTGGGCCAGTGCTTATCGATAAGCAATGACCAGAAACATCTGATGTGTTTTTTCTGCACCAATAAAAATTTTTCAATTAGAGTTGTCGGAAATTAACAATTTAAAAATGTGCTATAAGCTATTAATAATAGCGGCACTCATCGCCTTGAGTAGCAGCGAAGTGGTAATTGGCCAGGAGGATTTGGTTGATGAGGTATCTGGTCACTACACAATCGAGGGCAAAGTATACGCTCCCGATGTAGGACCCGGACTCGGTCAGCAGGGTCATGCGGTTGCCTTGCCCAATGGCAACAAATGGCAGGTGGACTTGTCCGTGAGCATTAACAACGGCGAGTACAAGGGATTTGTGCGCGAGGATGGACAGTTCATAATCAGCGGCGTACCGTCCGGCAGCTATGTGCTGGATGTTTATCATCCGGACATATTCTATGAGCCAGTGCGCGTTGAAATCAATCCCAAGGGCAAGTTCCGTGCGCGTAAAGTGAACTACATGCAGCCAGCGCAGGTTGTCCAAGTGCCCTATCCACTCAGGATGAAGCCGCTTATGAGATTCAAGTATTTCCAGACCCGAGAGCAATGGAAGGTTTGTACATATTATCGATGACATAGATTTAATAATCTAGCAACCTTCCATATGTTTGTACTAGATTACGGACTTCCTGTTTAGCCCTATGGTGCTAATGATGGCTCTGCCCTTGTTGCTTATGCTGGTGCTGCCAAAGATGATCAACGACCCAGAGACGAAGAAGGAAATTGAAAATATGCAATTTCCTAAGGTAAAGACAATATATTAACTACATACGCTTAAAACTAATTCCTTTTTTGTTCTTCCTTCTCAGATGACAAATGATATGCCAGAGATTAGCGAAATGCTAACATCTTTCCTAGCGGGCAAGCAGCCTGAGCCCAAGGAAAAGAAGCCTATCACAGCAAACAAACAAACAAAAAAACGGAATTAGTATTTGTGCCGTAATCTTATTGAATTAAGCCTTAAGCAAATAGAGAAAATCCTTTTAATTCTTAGTCAAATGGAATAAATTCAATAAACTTTGTAATATTAAGAGACGTTTATTTAAGAAAACCAACTGTGTTGGGCCTTTTGGGCCCCACGCGCTCCTCCTCCAGCTTGAGCATCTTCACGAGGAGATTATTCAGCTGCTCACCCATGGAGAGACCAAGCTGTATGCTATTCAGCATAGTATCCCTATGCATGGAGCCGCCTCCAGTCATGTGTGTGCCAGATAGATAAGCTGCAGGTAAAGAGGGTGTAAAAGAGGGAAACACCTCAATATATTTATAGTATTTACCTTCATTGTTACGCATGGATACGGATACAACCATGCTAACAGTGCTGCAGACTTCCTCCTCGGCTGTCGGATCCACCAGACAATAGTCACCAATTTTGCATACGGTCACAAGCAGAGGCACTGCATCAATGCCAATGCGCGTGCAATCATAGGGATTATCCGATATAATCAAATCCGTGACGCCTGCATCCAGCAATGTGGCAGTTACCCGGGGCAGCTTAGTATTATAGAGCGCTGCCTTGGCTGCCAGAGAAACGGCATCGTGCAAATTGCCACCGCATTCCAATATCTGAAAACCAGGCATTAGATAAAACATATATACTAGTATTAAACTTACTAAAATGTCTATATAAAGCTTCCAACATTGCTGACCCGGTATGAGGCACAAGGTACGATAATCAAAGGCATACGGGGATTCGTAAGCATTCTGCAGGGAAAGTATCAGCTCTTGTGCCAAGTCTGAGCCACCGCGACCCTCAAATTCTGGTGTGGCATTCGCAGAGCTGCGACAAAACGAAAAGTTGAATATACACATATCAAATTGATATAGAAAACATTTACCAATCCACAAAGAATTCCAGTTTTCCAAACTCGGGCGTTAATGGATTGGGCACATCAATTTCAGTCTTAACGCCCACCAGAATATCTGTGTTCGCTAAACGTAGACGTGCCGACCCACTTGCATTGCTGACCAAGCCAGTCTCCAGTTCCATTGGGCGGTAATCGCGGCGCGAACGACCATCGCAGCGGAAATCCTCCTGCAAGTATATACAAATACTTTATATCAATTATAAATAATTTTGTAAGCCCTTACCTCAACGCCATGTAAAATAAATGTCTTCTCTGCCTCGCTCAGCGCAACGTATGCCATTTTTCATTAAAAATATGTTTCAAGTCGAATCAAAACAAACCTAACATGTGGATGAGCGATAACGATAACGATATATTGTATTTAATAATGCAGAGCTGTTACTTAAATTCTACAGCACTGTGCCGGTTAGACGCTTCGCAACACTTGCCAAAAACAAGCCAGTCATTTTGCTTTGCATCTTCCTGCACGAATTACAAATTATAAAAGGAAATTCTTTCACAAGAACAATGGGTCCCGACTTTGACTTCACCGACACACCCGTCAGCACTGGCGTAAGTAATAGCATTATTAATGTCTGCAAGCCGTGTAACCATCATCATTGCAGACAACTATTATGGCCGTTGAGTTCGATGGCGGCGTTGTGATTGGTGCAGACTCTCGCACTAGCTCCGGGGCATATGTTGCGAATCGTGTGACCGACAAATTGACTCAAATCTCGGATAAGATATACTGCTGCCGCAGTGGCTCTGCCGCTGACACCCAGGCCATTGCCGACATTGTGGCCTATTCTCTGAACTATCACCGGAATCAGACCAACAAGGAGCCACTTGTCTGGGAGGCGGCATCAGAGTTTCGCAACTTTTGCTACAACTATCGCGACTCCCTGATGGCTGGCATCATTGTTGCCGGCTGGGACGAGGAGCGTGGCGGTCAAGTCTATAGTGTGCCATTGGGTGGCATGCTTACACGCGAATCTTGCACCATTGGCGGCTCGGGCTCCAGCTACATCTATGGATTCGTAAAAGAGCACTATCGCCTCGGCATGCAAATGGAAGAGTGTGTAGATTTTGTCAAGAAAGGTTGGTACACTTCATGTGAAATTTATTTCTTGGCTGTCAGCTAATTTACAAATTTTCTCACAGCTGTGCAACATGCCATCTACCATGATGGTAGCTCCGGCGGCGTGGTGCGCATTGGAATCATCACTAAGGACGGTATTGAGCGTCGTTTGTTCTTTAACACAGAGTCTGGACAGTCTGAGATTGAGGGCTCAAAAAGCTTTTTAGTTTAAATGGAAAGGATTCTAAATTCAGCTCTAACTCTTGTGGAAATATAATAATTTGGTTTTTCTATATGTAGATTTTATATTTTTCATTTGGGTATATGCGGGATGAAAAGCCATACAAAAGTCAAGTTCTTACACACTAAATGATAATAAATAAGTCGAGATAATAGCTTAAAACTAAGTAGATATATGTATACGACGAAAAATAGCTCCAGTAGTCACAACGCGTTGGTATCACATCCTTAAAATAAATATCAATACAAATTTTCCGGCTTATGCGCGAGAGTTCAAAGGCTCCCCTTGCTCGGCCTGCATATAAGTGGTCTCCATGGATTTGGATGTGTGGTGCCGCTGCTTTCTGTAGCGATAATAGATCTCTGGCGTCCACACAACGACGACCAGAAGCAGCACCAAGCTTTGAGCGTACAGGCAGACGACGTATGAGTTGGAATAATCGCGTACCCAGCCAAGAAGCTGGCCAACAATTATCACAATAATGCCCTTGGATATCATGCTGAGGCCCAGACCGCCAGCTAGTTTCTCCGAGCGACAATATGCCGATATAGTCAGATTGTTGTTGATCACGGTGGCCGACTTGGTCATGCCCACTTGCACGGACATGGCAATAATGACTGGCAAGCTGGTCGTCTGAGCGAGCAGCAGGCGGGCAATCAGCAAACCAACTATGCCCATCAGAAATACAACACGATAGGGTATTCTCAGTCGGTCAGTGATGCAGGGCAGGAGCAGGCGGAAGACAATATCGGCACCAGCCACAACCGACATGCATGTAGCCACTGCTTGGCTGTCAAAGCCAGCGGTGTGCTTCAGGAAATTGGGGAAGACGAGTGTAAAGTTGATTGTAGCTGTGTAGACCAAAGCCATGCCCACAATGATGCTCCAGAATACTGTGTCCTTGAGCAGTTCCAAGTCCATGGCCTGGGCCAAACGATAGCCCATTTTGCTGCACAATGAGCCGTCTTCTTTTGATTCCACTGGCTTCAGTGCATTATTATTCTGTGTCGGCTGCACGATGATTGCCTGCAAATCTTTGCTTTGCTTCTTGTCCTCCTTATCAACAATAAGTGTCAGATGCTTGCGATTGTTGTGACTAACGGGGGGATTTAGTGGACGTAGGAAAATGGCACCAAGCAGCTGTAAATTGAAAGACAATAGCTGTTAGCCAAGAGTTTAAATATTATAGGGCACAATAATACTAACCCCAGTCAGCGAGAGAGCAGCCATGGCTAGCACGGCAGTGCGGAAGCCATAATTCTCTAGGAAATATCGCACCATGTGAGGAATAAATACTTGACCCACACCAGCGCCCGCCAAGGAGACGCCAACGGCACGTCCCCGTTTACTGCTGAAGTAGGAGTTGATGGCCATGAAGGTGGATGGCGATATCAAGCCCAGTCCAAAGCCGACAAAGAAACTATAGCCTACTATATAATGCCAACTCTCTGTGGCAAAGGAGCACAGAGTCAAGCCAATGGATACCAACAAGCAGCCCGTGGCAGCCACATTCCTTGGCTTAAAGCTCTTAATGGCTGGCCCAATGAACAAGCCCGAAAAGTTTAGAGCCAAACTATTCAGATTTGTTATAAGTGCAGCCGTAAAGGTGTCCTCGTGCATGCGCAATTGACCCTCAAACAGTAGTCCAAAGACTGACAGTATGGACTGGTTGGTCATCTATAAAAGCAAACGAGTTAGAACATCTCATAATTTGTAATGGAATTCACGCAAACTTACATTTATCACAGCCACGGCGGCAACTACAACCCAACCCCAGCCGCCATCCGGTACAGTGCGTCCAGCTTGCACATCCATGTCGTCTAATTTGCTAATCAACTAATGAAGAGTTTATCCAAGCACTTGATCAAGAGCTGAAGCTGAAATAAAAACAAGATAAGCGTAAGGTAAGTAAAATTCTTGTAGACAATTCATTAATTATATTTAATTAGCTTATCACTGGCATACAGCGTGATATCAAATCGCTTTATCGCTCAATAATGTGTAAAGCTCAATTCTGACGACAACAACGATGTCTGGCAAAGGGTTCAAATTAAAACGCATAAAAAAAAACTGTGATTTACAATAAACAAAAATACAGCGAGCATACTTACGCCCAAGTACGTGCCTAATCAAACATAAAGAGCGTATGCACGTTGTTTCCATTGTGCGTCTTGCTTGCAATACGTTTGAAACGTTTAAAGCTTTAAGCGCCACAATCAGCCAAATATTAAACTTAAATTGTTTAAATTAATTCAAAGTCAAGTCACAAAGTGCGACGCCAAAACAACAGAGTTGCCAACTGCTTTAAATAGAATACAATGGCCGCATTTGCAGTAGGTTGGCAGCACGCTTTTCTACTCCAAACAGCTGATTGCCTGATGCCCGCTGTCGCATTTTTGAGAGAATAAATTACTAAAACATTGCAGCTTTAATAAATAATATGTGTTTTCTGTGCACAGAGTGCACGGATAATGCCATTGGCATTATCCCATTTAGTTCACAGCAAGCTGAGCTACTTGATGTTAAAGCGATTATCGAAAAACATTTTTGGTTGCGGGTAAGAAATGCTACAAATTACAATTAGAACATTTTGTCCAGTAAAATGCCCGAATTGCAGATTGAAGACGCCAATGGCCATATTTGTGGTAGTTGCTGGAGCGAGCTGTATGCATTCCATACATTCTATTTGCGTGTGGAGCAGGCGCACAAGGCGCTACTTGAAATTACAAATCTGTCATTCGCTAATGAGACGGAGGAAAGCGGAGCACTTGAAGCCATTTCCATGGAATTGCAGGTGCCAAAAGATGTCGTTAAGACAGAGGCTGACTTGGGCGACAGTGTGGCAGCTGCTGTGAAGCGAAGGCGCGGCCGTCCTCGCAAACAACCGGCAACCGAGGAAGCAACAGGTATCGACAGCAACGAATTTAGAGCCGTATTGGAGCAGATCAATCTGAACGAGATAAAAATCGAATTCCCTGAGGCGGACTTGAGCATAGCTGATGTGCTCGAAGATCAGGAGGAGCAATCCATATCTGAATTTCTTCAACAGAGTTGCAATGAAAGCGAAGCAGAAGCAGTTGCCATCGTCAAGCCAAAGCCGAAGAAACCTCGAAAAAAGACCAAAAAGCGTCGCTGCTTGAAAACCAAAATAAAAAGCGTAAAACCCGTAAAAGCTGGCGTAAACAATATGAAGAAATCTCAGGAATTCAATGAATACATCAGGGATCACTTCAAGTTATTTTGTCCATTTTGCAATGTGACGATGGAGGACTTCTCCCAGATGCTGACGCATTCACGCAAGGAGCACAATCAGCGCGGCTATGCCATGTGCTGCAATCGGAAGTTCTTGAAGCGCGGTGTGCTCGTTGATCATCTGCGACGGCACCAGGATCCGGATCTATTCAAATGCCAGATATGCCAACGTGTGATGGGCCAGCGTCGCAGCCTAGAGCTGCACATGCGCATGCACGAGATCAAGCAGCATGGACGTCGCTACCAGTGCGAGCATTGCTCAAAGAGGTTCTTCAGTCCCGTCGTGTGCGAGCGCCACAAACTCATCCACATTCCCAAGGAGCAGTGGAAAGCAACGTGCCCCACCTGCTGCAAGACGTAGGCATAAACTTGACCCTAGTTTAAATGCTCAGATATCAATGATTCCCTAATCTCTTTGGCAGCTTCCCCAACGAGTACCTAATGCAGCAGCACGTGAAGCTGGTGCATTTGCGAAAGTTTGACAAGATTTGTGATGTGTGCGGCAAGTCGATTAGAGGACGTGAGGCTTTGGTTCGGCACATGGAGGAGCATGCGGGTGCACCGCAAAAGATCATTAAATGCCATCTGTGCGAATCGACGCTAACAACCAAATACGGACTGGCGCGTCACATCAAGATGATGCACACAGCGGAGAACTTGCAGCCGATGCAGTGCAAATTTTGCCTCAAAGTGTCACCCACACTGCAGGCGCATCAGCACCACATCAAGTACACTCACAACACGGCACGTACACACGAGTGCCCGATGTGTGAGAAGGCATTT